TATTTTTATTTATTCATTTTTTTATTAACTATTTTTATTTTTGACTTTACTTTTAGGGGCTTCGGGGAAATATTAGGGGTCTAAACAGACCCCTCAATCTTTTTCTGCAGCCCCTGTTATAAATGAACAGGAATCCTCTATACTGAGTGTTCCTGTTCATTCATAACTTGGAGATAGTATGTTTACTATAACCACAATCATGAATGAACAGGAGGTGATGTAGATCACTTCCCGAGGCTATAGTAACCATATTATGTCCTCAATTATCTACAAACACTCAGCGATCACCGATCGCTGAGTGTTTGCATTGGTTCTCCTTTCGACAGCTGTCACAGGAGGCTGAGCGAGCGGTGCAGAGAGGAGAGCTCAGCCTCCTGTGACAGCGCGGGCTGTGTCTGCCTGCACACTGCTCTACCGGACTGTGACAGGAGGCTGAGCGGTGTGGGAGGAGAGACGCCGGCCACTCAGAGCGTTCGGCCGCCTGTGACACTTTTTCTCCTCCCCGCTGGGACACCAGCGGGGAGGAGAAAAATACAGCGCAGCGCCCATCGGGGAGGAAAGAATACACAGATGTGCCACTGTATCGGCAGAAAAATTGCACTTTCGGCAGTTAGCCAAAAGTGCCATTTTCGGCCGATATGTTTCGGTGCATTCCTAGTTGTAACTGCTGATTGCTCTTTATAAAAAATGCTTAGAAGTTGTGTCGCCTATCTCTCTAATTGTCCTGATTTCAAATATCACAGGGGACAAACATGAGGGTGTGGGTTACACAGTAAGCCCTTCCCTGCCCACACCATCACTTTTATTCCTGGTGACCTTGGTGATTAGGACAATTAGAGAGAGTGAATCCATTGATTCACAGATCTTAAAGTGGTTTGATCTCTTTCTAAGGAAAGTTTGCCTCTAACTATACTTTAATTCACAAAACTAGGGACAATTTTGAACTAGTGTTTGCAAAAAAAAACAGTTTTTGAAGGATTTAAACTTTGTAGGCCTTTTTAAACCTAGTAGGCACAAAAAAAAAAAAAAAG